GGCTAAATGAAGATAAAGAGTTAGGATAGCTGTGAAAAGAGCAGGCAAACAGAGAGGGATGGGTACTGCAGTGTCTGTCCAGCTTGTGTTATCACCTCTGGGTGAACAGTACTGAGGGTGCTGCTCATTACTCTCAGACAGACAAAAGCGATGTTGATTTATGAAAAACCGTGGATGGGTATTTTTATTGTTAATGCTTTGTTTATTAAAAAACACTCCATAGTGCACTTGTGTCATGTTAGGGTTGTAGCTATGATTATATTACACTTAAACTTGGCTTTTCAAAATACTTTATTGGGAAAAAAGTCCAAAATATCTTATTGGAAAAAGATAAACTAAGAAACATTTGAAAAAAAGATTTAATTTAAATAAATTCAAATATATAGATTAAAATATAATGCTGGGGCCATTGCTATGGAATCCAAGGTAGTGCTAAGGTACTGCTAGGCTGTTGCTATGGAATCCCAGGCGGCTGCTAAGGTGTTGCAAGACTGTTGCTATGGAATCCCAGGTGGCTGCTAAAGTATTGCTAGGTCTTTGTTATGGTATTCAGGGGGTTGTTAAGGCATTGCTAGGCTGTTGCTAAGGTGCTACTAGGCCATTGCCTTCACATCCCAGGTCGCTGCTATGTATTTATAATGTCTTGAAAGACAGTGCAAGAGATGTCCCTTATAACATCATTTGTGGCAGTTAGACTTAAATTTTCTCAACATATGGAAAAAAAAAGTCTGAACGAACTCTGCACGAAAACCACATGTGCACTATTCCTGTGTAGGCTCTACAATTTTGCAAAGTTTTGTGGTTCTAGCTCAAAAACCATGACCTTTGAAAACGGTACAAATAAAAGTGCAAAGTAATACATCTTACTTATTTACTTAACATAATCTTAAATATTTAATAAATCTTTATTTATACAGCGCTTTTCATTTTAGTTACAAACAACTGCACACAGAAGAAAATGAGCTACAGTACTTCTAGTCACAGTCTAAACATACATACATACATACATACATACATACATACATACAATATAATATATTTTAAATCTAGATTAAAAAAAAGAAGTTTCCTAATATTCTCTGGACCTACATGAAAATGTCATCTACCAGCTGAGCTGCAAGTGATCCTATGAGTTTGCAGTAATCCTGCCTCAGCTCAGCAAAGTGGTGTGGACAGGGTATAACACTTTAACAGATCAGGAAGATCTGTCTGCATTCAGCCGTTGAGAGCTTGAAATGTCATAAGCAAGACCTTGTAGTCGATGCAACACTTAAAAGTAAACTGAATAAGGCTGAAGCAATATGCGCAAACGTCTTTCTCCTGGTAAGCACATAAGCTGCTGCATTCTGAATTACTTGGAGCCTGTTTAAAGGGACAGCAGGGCAACTAGCCAATAACACATTACAGCAGTTGAATCTAGCAGTTAAGAAATCATTAACTAATTTCTCAACATCTTGTAGGGATTGTAACTGTCTTTTTTTTGGATAAGTTTCTCAAGTAATAAAACATGATCTTAGACATATTACTGATATTAGACTCACATGACAACCTAGAGTCCAGTGTTACATAAAGGAGTAAACATTATGGTCAATACTTCTGTTTTATCAGAATTTAGTTCCTGATCATCCAGGCTTTTATGTCTTTTATGCCTGGACAGACATGTAGAACTATCGCCTGCAAAAACAACAAAAGTGAAAAACAACATTTTGTTTAAAGACTGTGTGTCCTAGGGGTTGTAAATAATAGGAGAACAACAAGGGCCTTAAAACAGAGCCATTAGGGACACCACATTGCACTCTTCTATAAAAAAATGTATTAAAAATATGTAAATGGGTATGTCCATCAGGCTCTGCTTCTTAATTTAAGAAGAAAGAGAGACATCAAACCATGCATTATCATCATGCAGAGTGCCAACTAATCATTTCAAATTCCACAAGAAAGTAGTTTTTAGGCAGGTAATTGAGCTCATTTAAGTAATTGTTGACAGCCCTAACCATAGCTTTTACAAAATACATGCAGTTATTCTGACAATAAATAAAATACACTACAGGATATGCAACAGTATCGGCACCATTAAAGAAAATGGACCTCTGAACTACAGAAGAAGTAGAGGGAGAGGAACCAAAAAAGCCATAATAACTTGATTAGTTGATTAATCAACTAATGGCTGATAGGTTAATCAACTACAAAAATAACCACAGGTAGACAGACAGTCAGGCAAGAGTGGTGGAGTCTCAGTAGCAGGGCCACTCTGTCCTAGAGCCAGGCGCGCATTACGCCAAACAGGTGACCCTGACATCTATTAGCACATGTAAAGGCTTTATCTGCTAAGAGGCTCATTGCTGCGCAGAAGTGCACTAAATCTGCCGTAAGAGGAAGAGATCCATGCCAGAGTGAAAGTGGCTGCCAGGCCTGATCCCAGCATGAACTCACTGCTCACGGCTCAACTAGAATGCCCGCCTGTCCGCCCTGCAGCGCCTGTAAACACTGAAACCAGTGACCATTTGGCTGAGGGGCCGTTTGGACTGGGTGAATGAAAAACGTGTGAGAACAATTTCTCAGCTCAGAGCAAATTCCAGAGCAGCTGCTGTTTGTGATGAGAAACCAGAAGCCTTGGGAATTCAGTGAGACCTACAGTAACACAACTGGTTTAATCCAGCTTTGGACAAATGTGCGTTTCAGTTAAACCTTGATCCTTTAGCGTGTATACACTGCATATAGAGAGCACCAGCTGACCTTTGAGATAAAAAACTGAACATTAAAGGGGAATTCCATCCATTTTTCAAAATTTCTGCATAACTGAGTGGTTGAGATGTAAACAAAGTCATTCAGAGTGGTGTGAAATGTGAAATAGTAATATATATAGCCATTTTATTTATTATCCAAAAAGACCAGTGAACCTACATGTCTTCTGGGGTTTTATATGTAACATTTATAAACGGTAAAACAGTAGTAATCTGAAAAAATGTGTTTTCTTTTGGGGACTATTTTGCCTTATAACACTCTTCCTGTACCCCTCCACCATGAACGGCTTTTAAAAGGACAAAACCTTATCTCAAAAATTAACGTTCAACAATGTCTTAGGCCTCAGGCAGCGTAGCCATAGCCATTTCATGTAATAACTTTCTGGGAGGAAGCTTTTAGAGGCAATAAATGTTTCAGACATCTGCTTCCTATCACCACCACTGTGAACAATTCTGACTCAGTAAGTTTCTCTAGAATGGAGTATTTCACAACAACCACTCTGAGTGACTGGGTTTACATCTTAATGATTTAATTATGTAGATTTTTTGAAGAATCAGTGAAATTCAAGCAAGCAAGTCTGTGTTCAAAATATCAGTTACACAATATATTGTGGGTAGGCTTGTGGAAATATGCGTATTGCCGTGGTGGATGTACTGACAGTTATACATTTATGTGCTGTAATGCACAAGTGTAACAGACACATTGCATGCATTCAAGTCTGAAAGTGTGACATTTTACAGCATCCGGCATGTGGTAAACAAGGTCTAATGGTCAGGATTCAGCTCTTTATTTATCATTTTTTGTATAAAAAACTGCACTGAAGAAAAAAACTGGTCAGTTTCAGGCGAAACAGAGCACAGTGTCAAGTTTATCCATTAGTGTATCATCTGCTATTGTGTATGTAGAGAAAGTGAGTCCTTTATTAACTGTTGTTAAGGCTGTCATGACCCTTGTTAGTTAGTGTAGTTAGTGTATTCAAAGTAATTTAATTTTTTCAGGGGTGATTTAGCCTGTGGTTGTAGCAAGTTATTAATTTTTTAGCTTGGCATGATTAGTTCTTAGCTGTTAGCAGTTTTTTTTTTAAGAGCTGCTTTGTTTTATAGCGCTGTTAAAACTCAATGGATGATGTTACTGTGCTGAATGTGATCTGTGATCTTTTGTTGTTCACTGATAGTTTTATATCCACGGACTTACTATATATGCTGCTTTTGGGATTAAAAGTACAGGACATTCATTCTTCTGCCTCTCTCACTCTGACCAGCACCTCAGAACCACATATATATATATAGTTCTCAGAAGCACCCCCAGCACTTTTCATGTATTCATTATTCTTATAGTTTTTAAGGCTCTAAATGACCTTGCACCCGCTTACATCACAGAGTGTCTGTCTGTTTATGTTCCACCATGTGATCTTAGATCTGCAGATACTGGCCTTCTGCAAATACCTTCTGTAAAATACAGCCAACATGGAGAGGCCTCTTTCAGTTATTCTGCTTCTAAACTATGGAACTCAACCTTTTATCAGACAGTCAAGCTCAGTGCTCACTTTTAAAAATTTCGTGGTATTTATCTTTTTATTTGATTTGTATCATTTTCTTATATGATTCTAAATTAATACTTATAATTTCTTGTATTACTGTTTAACTTTATCACCTGTCTGTAAAGCACTTTGAGCTGCCACCAGCAAAAAAAGCTACAATGCTAAGAAATGCTACATAAATTAAAAAAACATTATTATTGTGGGTGAACACTGACCAAAAATATCTGTTGTACATCAAGTGTTTTTGCATCATTTTGTGATGTTTGTATCATGCTATCATATCGTGAAGTTGCTGATACTACCCAGCCCTAATTAAGAGGAAGACAGAAGCACTAGAGATGTAATTTTTAATTATATTTATATGTTATTATACTTCCTATATAAAAATACACACACACCAAGATAAACCCCTCATTGAATGAAAAGTCTATATAAAATATGAGAGGTTTTCTGCTTTTTCTTAATTCTCAGCTTCTGAGTTCTCACAAAATGTTCTGTCCATCAATCTTCTGAGCCAGACAGTTAATAAACACTCTGTCTGAAGTCTCTCGGCAATCCTCACAGTCTGGGATGAGCTCTAGTTGGGGAATTGCAGGTGCAGACCCCCTGGAAAGCTCAGCTGTTCCCTCTCACATACACACCTACATGCATGCACACAAGCAAACAAATAAACAAACATTGCGTAGGAGTGGCAGAGGAAAACAGATTTCCATACCTTTGAAATGTTGCTGGACCTGCTTGCAGAATGACCCAGTGGCTTGTCATTCTGTGGAGAAGAAGAAAAGAAAGACAACATGTTACCACAGAAACGATTTAAAGGAAGAAAACTTTCATGTATACTGGCTTTATGAAAAATGACAACCTCCAGTTAAAATGCCTTAATAATAATACAATTTTTTCTGAAGTGTCTGAGGCGTCTCTTTCACGGTATGTTCAATGCCCTCTAGAATATTAATGCTGTCAGCTTGGATGAAGAGAAAACATACTTTTATGCAGAAACTAGAAACTGCAAATGATTATAATGTGGAGTGATGAAATGACTCCTTTTAAAATGGGCGTATTGCTTGAGGCATTGATGTTTGCCAACTGCTTGATTTTACCCTAGAGCTTAAGGAACAGCCACTTAAACTAGCCAGGAAGCACAGGCAGACATGCTGTTATCAGGGCAGAGCATCCAACAGCAGCTAACCAAAAAAAACTTTAGAGCCTTCTGCATGCTCCTCCCGTCGTGCCTCAGTGCCACTAAGGAGTTAAGTAGAGAATAATAACCTTTTCAGCCGAGCCTCTTCCATTTTTGCATCTGTTGCCAGATTTCAGTTATAAAAGAGTTATCAATCAAGTTTATGTAAGTACAGGTTCCAGGCTTAGCTGTGCCACATAGTCTGGGGGAGAGAGAGGCTAGTAGATTTAATAAGCACCTTTCCAACTGAATACTCAATTTATCTCAAGAAATAAGTTGTTGGTGAGCATGCAGTTATGTAGTATGTTTACTATTAAAAGTAGATGGAAAAAAGTATGTGCAAAACATAAATATGTAATATAACCCTACGTTAATTACTGCACTGGCTACCTATATCGATCAGGATAGATTTTAAAAGTCTGCTACTAGTGTTTAAGGCTCTAAATGACCTTAAAGCACCTGCTTACATCACATTGTGTCTATTTATGTTACACGACTCGTTCAGTTACTATGCTTCTAAACTGTGGAGCTCAGTTCACCTTTTATTAGACAGTCAAGCTCAATGTACATTTTTAAGAAGCATCTAACAACGTATCTCTTTAACTTGGCATTTAATTAAAACTCTATGTCTCTTGGTATTTACCTTTTTAAATTGATCTGCGTAATTTTCTTATACGATTGTAAATGAATATTTATAATTTCTTGTATTACTGTTTAACTTTATTACCTGTCAAAGTGTGTAAAGCACTTTGAGCTGCCACCAGCATGAAAAGTGCTATATAAATAAAATATTCTTCTTCTTCTTCTTCTTCTTCTTCTTATTATTATTATTATTATTATTATTATATCATCACACTGTAGTAATTAAACATGTAAAAGATAATACATGAACACAGTGTTCTGTATGTTATTTTTTAGTTGGTAGATGGGTAGAATGTTGTTTGTTTGGTTGGTAGATCCTAGACACTCTGGATAGAAGGTCAAGTAGAAAAGGATGGAATTGCAACCCTTATGATGAGCTGTGAAGGTACTCGCATCAAAGCACATGATCATAATGTGATAGCAAAACAATAATAAATGAATAAATAACACAAAATGAGGCTGCACACTGAAAAGGGGGCTCTGGACCATCTGAGATCGGTCTGCACACCCACAGCACATGCAATTAAAACTGGTTGGAGTGCTCATTTGCAGAGTGCTGCAGTTACAACTACAAATGCTTGATTTTGCTACACCTGGTGTACTATTACATCAAATGTGATAATTACAGTCTTTTGCAATTAGCATACTGCAGGGGCAAATGCTGTGTGGTGATTTACATATGACATACAGACCCGACTAACACAAAAGCCTGTCAAGCAAATTTCCACAATTATTATACAAATGGAAAACAGACAGAGTGGAGTGATCAGTGCTTTTATCTCTCACCTTAAGACACACATGGGTGCCTAGACCTCTACCAGGCAACAGAACTCAATCAGCTGCTGGTTTTAACATGGCAAGACATTTATATGTTCTGTTTCTTGTCTTGCAATCTATTCTGAAGAGGCATTGTCCAGACTCTTCTCCCTCTGCCACATATAAGCAAGAGGACATCCATCATCCAACTCCACAATGTCCTGATTGTGACTCTGTGGCCTGCTAGCATCTGTCAAACTCTGTACACAACTGGCTCAAGGAGAGACCTCCAAACACATTTTCCAAACCTCTCCTCAAGGAAGCCCACTGTTCGCAGTTACCAGCAAATCTTATAACTGGTTCAGCTTATCAATACTTACATGATACTTAAAGTAATATGTTATATCAAGGTATTTTGCCGGCATTCTGGTGGTGGAATGAACAAAATATTGTAATGGCTGGTGTTCACTGTGTTCTTCCAAACATTTAATAGGGTAACATTTTAGAAAACAATGCCAGGCGCCCGACCCTTGGGCACAGATGACAGCTATGAGAGGCAGCGGGAAGCTAATACCCGAACCCTGTGTGCCGACAACAGCCGTGAGAGGCGGAGGAGGAGAGCGACAGCCATGAAAAGCATGAGAATGGCGTCCAAGTCCCAAGCCCTGCCTCCTGGTCTGCAGCGAGGCCACTGCACTACGTCTGATGTTTGATCCCTGTGGCCAAGCTGCAGAACAGGGGTGGTAACAGGGGGTGGAGCAGCAAGCTCTCTTGCCTGCTCGGCTCAGGTGCTCGTGCTGCCCTTAATGAGAGCCAGCTGATGCTGGTTTGGCTTTGGCAGCGTGGGTACCGTTAAGAGGAACGGAGTGGGACTAAAGAAAAGGGGAAGATGGATGAGCAGCAGCAGAAAAAAAAGACTGATGAACTGAAAAGGCTGTGTGTGAGAAAACAACTGAAAAGTTTAGCTAGAAGTCACTGAAAAGTGGCCAGTCTTTGGTTTTATGTGAGTAAAATAAATTAGAAAAGCTTGCTGCAACCATCACTCCTGCCTCCAGCATCCTTCTTTCTTCCAGGGTAGCATATGTTGTGCTACAAAGACCTTGTTCCTTTGTACTGTAGTAATATTTATTTTGATTTATTCAAATGTCATACAGTGTTTTCACACATTAAAACAGACTTACTTTCCAGAAAAGTAGTTTTGAACAATTTTAAGCTTGTCAGAATTATTAATAATCGCCTGATTGCACTTATTTAAGCTGACCGCAATCATTTTCCTCAGTTGTTAGCTGTCACAATCATATGCTTATGTTTACAAGGCTTGAGGCAATTAATGTAAATAGAATTAGGCTTAGAATGCATTTATTGAGACACTTCATGAGAACAACAAATTCTGATCTCTGAGAGGTGCTATGACATATTTCGAGTCTTCAACTGAGCCCTGCACCACTGAAAAAACATATATTAACCATTCCACCCGTCTTTTGGATTATGTCAATCCAAAAAAAAAGGGTGGAATATTGTTTTCTATTGTATTTTGTACAGCCTTTCATATTAAAAAGCCAAACTATATTTGTTTTAGTGACCCATTTATTTTAAATACAGGCAATCAAACAAAGCCATACCACGCTTATATGATTTATGTAAAAAATGACATATATACTGTTTTTCGCTGCAAAGGCTCATTAGTATCAAGGGGCTACTAAGTAGATAATTTGGCCAGTTTAGGCTTGTACTTTCACAGTTGCATACAATAAACAACGAAAAAAAGTTAAACTGTTGATCTTGCTTTGACTCGCATGAGAAAACCTTCACATCAAAGAGCACTCGGCAGACTGGGTGTTACTGTGTGAATGAATATAAGTATGTATAAGAGCACTTGTACTGTTCTTGAAACTGAAATGAACTGCAGTGGTCTGAGCAAAGTGTTGCTGGCGATTAGGATAGAGAAAGTATAGGTATTGTGGTGCAGCGCAGCAGCAGAAGGACATGTTCTTTATCTTTAATTACTCCGTTGCCGTACTCACAGCTCCTGCCCTTACACGTTACCATGGAGATGGCAGTGATGGAGGACTGTGTGTTAAATCCCTGCTGGTCTCTCTGTTTGGAATGAAGGAAAATTCAGCCACACAAGACCAAAAAGATCCACATCTCACACACACACACACACACACACACACAGAAAGAGCAATGCTCTGTAACTCTCTCACTACACACTCTCCTTTCTAACCTCAAGTGAATAGAGAGAGAGAGAGAGAGAGACAGAGAAAGAAAAGAGAATGAAGGAGCAAAAGAAAAAAGAACCAGTAAAAGAGACAGAAGGAAAAAAGAGAGAAAGAAAGAAGATAGCATGAGAAAGAAAAGAGGGAGAAAAAGCAAAAAATAAAAAAAGCAAGAGGAAATAAAGAGAGAGAAAGAGAGATGGAATGCTAGAGAGATTGAGACAAAGACAGATCAATAGAAGGAAAAGTAGAGAAAAAAATGGAGATAAGAGTGAGAGAGCGAGAGAGAGAAAGAGAGAGATAGAGAGAAAAGAAGAGAGAGATAGGGACAGTGCAGAAGAGAAAAGAGGGAGGCAGAGACAAGAAAGGAGAGAGAAAGAGAACAAGAGAACAAAAAGAGAAGGAACGAAAGAGGTAGATAGAGAAAAAAAAGCAAGAGAAAGAAAAGATGTAGAGAGAAAGAGAGAAGAGAGACAGAGAGACAGGAGGAAAAGTGACAAAGCAAGAGAAAACATAGAGAGAGAAGAGAAATAACCAAGAGAGATACAAGAATAATAAGAGACAGCGAGAGAGAAAGAAAAAAAAGAGAGAGAGAGAGCGAGAGAGCGAGCGAGAGAGAGAGAGCGAGCGAGCGAGAGAGAGAGAGAGAGAGAACGTCTCTACATGCTTATAACTGTCACTAGTCTGTCTCCTCTCTGATATACCGTCACGGCATTTGTTCTCTCGTGAACAAACACCGCACTGCTGCGTACACACTGCTGTATGAACGTGTAAACAGGCTCTTACACGTCTCCTGGTCATCTGTGCGAAGGCTGTTTCATGCTGCAGGCTAAAGGAACTTGCAGCAGGCTAGAAAAAGTGGCTGGTTAAATTGAGGTGATTAAGCTCTGCTGCATTCTCCCCAGAGTGGAGGCTCAAACAGGGATAGATGAATTAATGATGTAGGGGCGAAAATGCTCCTGAGGAACG